CAGGACCTCCTGGGCAGGGAGCGGGACAGGGCTCAGGGGGGGCTCACGGGGGACATGCAGGGACCCTGTCCCACCACCCTGCCATGTCCCTGTGCCAGTGACACCTCCCCACGCCGGCACCTCCCCAAGCTGCCGTGCCATGCCCAGAGCCCCAGCCCGGTGGTGCCCAGCACCCCACAGTGGAGCCGTGGGGCTGGGACCCAGCAGGGACCCCCCTGCGTCCCGCCGTGACCCTCCCCGTGTCCCCTCGTGGCCCTCCCTGCGCCGGGCTCTGCCGGGGGGGAAGCAGCACGGAGCCCCGCACACAGCGGGAGCCAGGCCAGCCCGCGGGCTGCACTCAGCGCCGGAGGGGGCACAGGGGCTCTGCGTCCCCCCTCCCTGTCCCTTCGTCCTCTGGCATCGCCAGGGAAGACCCCTGGGTCTGGGCGAGGGGGTGCCCAGCACCCATGGGAGATGGCGTGTCCCTGCCTGCACCCGTGGGTGTCACTGGGCACGGCAGAGAGCATGGCGCAGCATCCGCGCCGAGCCCCAGGCAGGGGGTCCCTACCTTGGGGAGGCGCTCGGGGTCCCCGGGGTGCCGGGGGATGACCTTCTGCAGCCGCTGGAACCCGTAGTCGATGGTGGGCTCGTTCAGCGCTGCCGAGAGAGAGGGGCTCAGCGGCTGCTGCACGCGGGCCCCCTGCCCCGACCCCACGGGGAAACTGAGGCACCGACCATGCGGTGCAGAGCTGAGCCGGGGCATAGTGCGGGGGAACCCCACCCCCCCCAGGGCACCCCCCCCCCATGCCACCAGCCCCTGCGTCCCTTCCTCTCCCACCCCCCTGTCTGGCAGCCACAGCCCCCAGACCCGCTGCGGAGGTCCCGAGGGGACGGGACGGTGCCGGCGCAGGGCAGGAGTCAGGGTGATGTGCAGCACGGCACACAGTCAGCGTGAAGAGACTGCCCGAGACAGCAGCAACGTGCGATGGCACACGGCACGTGGCGTGCGGCCACCATGGCGGGACCGATCCTCTGCTGCGCGGTGCCCGCTGCCCCGCTCACACCCCACGTGTGCATGGCCCCTGGGGTCGCTCTCTGGGGGTTTCGATAGTGTTTTGCAATAACCCTCACCCCAATCCTACCCCTACCCCCGTCCCTGCCACCATCCCCCCGTCACACCCCTACCCCCTGGCCCTCAGCCCAGCCCTGCCCTGCCCCAAACCCCTGCCCTATGCCCGTCCCCTCGCCCCCTGCCCGTCCCCTCGCCCTGTCCCTGCAGCAGGGCCGCTGACAGGGGGCCCGCTCGGGGCAGGGCTGTGCCCAGGGGCTGGCAGTGGGCACAGAGATCCCCTGGGTGCTGTCCCGGGGGTCTGTGTCCCCTTCCCGGGGGTCTGTGCCCCTTCCCGGGGGCCTGTGCTCCCTTCCCGGGGGTCTGTGTCCCCTTCCCCGGGGGTCTGCGCCCCTCACCGGTGTAGACGAAGCGTCCCGGGGCACCCTTGCAGAACTGCTTGGACTTGTAGGAGAGCGTCACCTCCACCACGCCGGGGATGTGCCGCGGGGGGGTCTGCACCCGGATGGCGTGAGGTGTGATGAGCTGCAGGGCAAGACGGGGCTCAGCCCACGGCTGGGGGGGGCGG